TAGATTTTACTGTAGTGTTCCTTTATAAGACTCCCAGCCCTCCAATAATTGTAGAATTATTGGAGGGCCAGAATTATTGGAGTCTAGAATTATTGGAGGGTAAGAATTATTGGCGGGTATAATTATTGGTATGGATAGGGCCATCCTGAGGGGGTTAGCTGCTGATAAATACCCTGCCCTGTCATTCAGTGCATCAGTCAACTCCGTTATTCTCATTCTGGTTTCAACCATTCAGGGTCTTCCAGCCTTGCTCTTTCTACAAACTAGCTTCCGCAACGCCGGCATCATGCCTTTCTAGCAATACAGAAAACAAAATCTATGGCACAACACAACCAGAACAAACATCATCCTACAAACACAATTAGCTGTTCACAAATGCTAGTATAGTGAGGTTCGGAATCAGCGCCTTGTGAGAGAGAGGCTTGCCAGTCTTGGGGGAGACCGTGCTGCCCTTGAACCACTCCTCTATAAACCTCCTCTCGTATGTGTAGCCATCAGCAGCAATCACAGGGTCCTGCATTCGTGTCTGTCAGCACCCACACAAGGATAAAGAGAGACAGTGTCAGGCAGGGTGGAGAAAGTTGAGGCAGGTGCATCACACACAAATAGCAGGCAAGGCATGATAGAATTCACAGGCCTGAGAGGGACACGGTCAGGTTGGTACTGTACCTTACTGCAGCGCACGCCAGGTGACATCTAATCTGAGTCACTTCACAACACAAACCGTGTGACCAGCAAAAAACCCTAGTCTCACCTTGCTCAAGGGGCACATCAGCTTCTCCTCCTGCCCCGGGCACCGCCTCTTCCTCTCCGCCTCGCCCACTGCCCCACATGCCTCAGCTCCGGAAACACACACCCCACAAAGTCCGGCCGGGCCTCAGCATCGTTCAGCACGCACAGCAGCGCCATTGCCAGCATCCTCTCAGCCACCTTCCGCGGCCAAATCCCAGCCGCAGGATCCAAACAGCACATCAGCTCATCAACGGCTGCCTCCACCGCCCCGCCCGCCCGCTTGAATGGCATCAGCTGCTTGTGCAGCGCGCGGATATTCGGCTGCCCAAGAAGCAGCTGGAGGATTATCAACCCCAGCGCATACACATCGCTCCTCCCCGTCACCTCCCCGGTCTGCATCTCAGACGGGTCTATGTACCCGACAGACCCAGACAGACGCCACGTTTCAGGCAGCACATCGCCCTGCCACGAACTGAGCAATCCCCACATCGCCCACCTTGCTGCGCTTGTTTCGGTCCAGAAGGATATTTTCCGGACGCAAGTCCCCGTGGACGATGGCGGGTCGTGGCAGTGGAGGAACACCAGGGCTGCCGCCAGCTCGCACGACACGCGGATCCGGTCGTGCCATGTCAGCGGGGCCCACGGCTTGGTGCCGGGGGTTTTGGCGAGGCGCTCGAGGAGGGAGCCGCCTGGGAGGTGCTCGTAGACTATGCAGCGCTCCTCGGGGCACTGCCCCATCATGAGCGCCACGTGCGGGTGGCGAACTTTGGACAGTATGCTCACTTCTCGCTGAAAATCTTCTTCCTCGCATGAGCTTGCGTGCTCGAGGCGTTTCACGGCGACGGTAGAGCCGAAGAGCGTGCCCTTGTGGAGGGTACCGAGGACGGTTTTAGTGAGGATGGTTTTCGGGGAGAAGTGGTCGGTGGCCTGGAGGATCTCGGCTCGGGAGAAGGTCCGGCACTCGGTGGAGGGTCGGGAGGACTCGGTGGAGGTTCGGGATTCGGTTCGGAAGAGAAGGGAGGCACTGCTGGCCTCAGAGCGAGCAGGCGACCAGGCTGAGAGGCTGCTGGAGGAGGAATACTGTGGGAGAAAAGGAAGGGGGAGAGAAATGGGGAAGTGGAAAGGGGGAAGGGAAAAGGAAAAGGAGAATGGGGGAACGGGATAGTGTAGAGTGAGCATTTTGCACTGGTGAGGAGTGCACTCAAATCTAAATATGTTTGCTGCTGCATGAGGAGTGGACTGGCAACCAGGCTGAGAGGCTGCTGGAGGGGGAATAGTGTGGGATAGACAGCTTACCTTGGTTGAGAACTCGCCAGTGACAAACGTGATACCCTCCTCCTGCTCCTCCGCCCCCTTCACCCTGTGCCTCTCCCTCTCCCTCTCCTGGCTGCACTGTCCAAACTGCCCCTGTGGCGGTTACTGCTACTCCAGTTGTTGCGCTGACTGGTGGTACCGCCGCTGCTGCTGCGGCTGCTGATGCTGCAGGGGCTCTCCACCTCGGGGAGAGAAGCGTATGCGGAGTCTTGAAGCGACTCCTGAGGCGAGTCGTGAGACAAGTCAAGGGCTGCCCCACACAGAGGTGCCAGCGCAGGCCGAGGCGTGGAGGGCAACTGCATGGCCTCAGGGGTGCATGGCATGTGCGCAGCCCCAGCACACCCAGAGGGGTGGAGGGCATGTGCACGGCACCCAACACACCCTTAGGGCTGGAGGGCAGCTGGGCAAGAACCGAGATGGAGGAGGATTTGGTCAGGGCAAGTCCGGGTGGGGTTGTGGGCGGGTTGGGGTTGGAAAACGCCTTGGGTAGGCGAGGCGTGGTGGGTGCTTGGGTGGGAAAGCTGGTGGGGGTACCAGGTGACTTGGGCAGGCGAGGGGTGGTGGGAGCTTGCGCAGAGTAATGGGGGCTGGACGGTGAGAGGGATAACCGTGGGCTGCTGAACGCCGTCTCAAGAGTCTCAAGAGGGTTGCTGGGGATGAGAAGGGCTATGGGTGCCTGAGGGGGAGGCGATTTGGAGGAAGTGGAAATAGGAGGAGAATTGGGGAGGGCAGAGAGGGCAGATGGTGGAGAGGGGCGGTTGGGAAACGCGCGAGAGGAAATGTGAGTCCGGGGTGGTGTGGCGGGCGGGTTGGATGGAGGAGACGGTCCAGCCGAACCTCTATCCGAGCCCGTGAAGCTGGCTTGATGCGCAGGCTGTGCCATGCTCATGCTGTGGCTAGCTGTGGTGCGTTGCGGGACCTTGTTCCCTGCATCCTCCTCGTCCTCTTCCTCCTCGCCCTCCTCCAGCTCGGGAATGCTGGCAGCGCTGCTGACAGGGCAGCTTGCCATGGACCGTGCCACAGGGGATTTGGGAGGTGTTGGCGGTCGCGCGCCCAGATTCAATGGTAGTCCAAGCCTCCCGGCCTTCTCACTCCTTCCTCGCTCACTCCCACTCTCCTCACCCCTCTCGCTCCCCATCTCGCTCCCTCTCTCCTCCTCCTCGTCCTCATCATCCGAGTCGTCCATGAGAACAGCAGCCGACATGCCCAGGCACAGCGGCTCCGACTGGGGTATCATGCTGCGCCCCCTCCCCGCCATCGCCCCCGCCCTCGCCGCCCTCTGCACCGCGTCTGCCAACGAACCCCCACTGAACCCACCCGCACCGGCACCAGCAGCAACACCTCCAGCACCAGCAGCAGCACTAGCAGCAGCAGCGGCAGCGACACCATTAGAAGCAGTGGTGGGGAAATCAGTGTCACCGTAGTAACCGCCAGTGCCGAGCAGGGGGGCGCCGGAGCCGACAGCAAAGGTGCCGGAGCAAGTGCCAGCAGCCATGAGAGCCTCGAGATTGGAAAACGAGTTCTGCCTCTGCAGCCGCGCCCTCAGCAGCTCCCCACTACCAGCACCACCACCAGCGCCAGCACCACCACCAGCACCAGCACCAGCAGCTGCTCCAGATGCCCCAGCACTGACCCTGCTGTGGCTGCCGAAACTGCCACTGAGGGAGAACCCTCTAGCACGGTTGAAAAAGTGGTGGCTGCTGCCGATGCCACTGCTGTCGTCACCGTCAGAGCTGTCAGCGCCCGCTGCCCTGCCGCGGCGGGCACCGCTGGGGCTGAGCATGCGGCGCACAAAGGCAGCGCGCATGGAGGCGGAGGGGATGCGACGCTTGATGGAGCGCGAGGCGAACGAGGCCGACACGTTGAAGGGGCGGAAGTGGATGCGCGGAGATGGGGGTTGCACACGCGGGTCGATCCCAGTCACCCCTGCTGCTCCTGCTGCTGCTGCGGCTGCTGATGAGGAGAGCGATGAAGTGCCTGTTGGGCCTGAGGCCAGTGCGGCAGAATACGCCACGGCTGCTGCAGTGGACGGCGAGCAAACAGCTGGCGGCGACGGCGGCAATCCCGGCCGATACACCTCCGCACGGTGGGAAACCCCTTGGAGGGAATTCCCTTGAAAAGCAGAATTCGCCTGGTGGTGGGGGTTCCCCAGCTGGGGGTCAGTGGTATCAGTGGGGGAGGCTGTACGCGGGGAGAAGAGGCGCGGGGTGAAACCTCGAGGGGAGAGAGGAGGCAGGCCCTTGCGGGAGGGCGACGGGCCTCTGCTGCCGTTGAAGCTGTGCAGCGCTGAGGGAGCACTGAGGCCGTTGATCAGGAGGAGGGTTTCGATGGACAGTGCGGATGCGTTGAGGTGGCCCTGGAGCGTGATGAGCTTGTCGGCCTTGGGGATGAGCAGCGTGCAGGTGGAGGGGAGGAGGTCCAGCGGGAAATCCATGATTGGTGCAGGCTCATGCTTCCGGAACAGGCGCCGACTGCAGGAGGCGCAGGGGAAAGGGAGCAGAAGAGGCGGCATAATGAATCCTGACCTGACCCTTTCAGCGGCTCTAATTGGAAAGGAGAGGTTTGGGAAAAGAAGACATGAAGACTCAGAGGAAAAACGAGAGAGCAAATGACGGCTCTCTGTGTACGCTGTCTACTGGCGTTTGTGACTGAGGCACCTCACGGTGGATGCAACAGTGAAAGGCCACGCACCTGGCCTTCTTAGGGGGCGGCGTGTTGCTGATGTAGAGCCGCTGCACCTTGATCCGCTGAGACGACTCACGGCTGGTTCGCGGTCTAAGTCGGCACAGGGAAGAGGGAGGCCACGCACCTTGCCTTCTTAGGGGCGGCGTGTTACTGATGTAGAGCCGCTGCGCCTTGAACTTGACGGCTGCGATGCACAGCCCTCTCTCCCATGCCTCCGCTGCCTCCGTGTGCATCGTAATGGCTGGGCGTGTCTGTGGGTTAGAGGGACGGACAAGGAGAGGAGGAACACAGCACCGCAGTGGTGGGGAGGAGGGGGGTGGTCGAAAGGCACGAAGAGAGAATGAAAATATTGCAACTTGACAGCTGCGATGCACATCCCTCGCTCCCACTGCCTCCGCTGCCTCTGTGTGCATCGTGATGGCGGGGCGTGCCTGAGGGGCGAGGCGGACGCAAGGGCAAGAAGAAGCACGCCAAGCAGCGATCTTTGGGTCCACTCAAAAGTCACCTCTGCCGCCTCTGTGTGCATCGTGATGGCCGGACGCGCCTGTGGGTTGAGAGGGGCGCAGGAACACAGCACAGCAGTGGAGGGAAGAAGGGAGGCGGTTGGGACACGAATTAGGAGGACGACTCAAGACATTAGAGAACGAAATCCGTGAAGAAGGCTGTGGAACAAGGTGAATAGCGCATCGGCAGGTGACATAGTCCTGTTCTAAAGAACGAGGGAAAAGGATGAAGGGGGGGAAGGGGGGGGGAAGGCGGGTGGGGGGGGTAAGGGGAGGGTGGGAGCCGAGGGAGGGGGGGTAGGGGTGCATAACAAACCGGCTTGCTTACCGAGGGCGAGGCAAGGTCTGCAGCGCTCTGCTTGTGGCCGGAGGTGGGGTAGACCTCGTCCTCCTCGCTCTTCGTCGCCTGTGCCTGCAGCTGCCGCGCGAATGACATCTTCCCCGCCATGCCGTGCGCTGGTGAGGCACTCCCGCTCATGCCTGGTGAAAGGAACAAAAACGGAATAAGAGGAGGAGAAGGGAGAAGGGAAAGTAGAGGGGAGGGGAAGGGGGTGGGATTAGGGTATGCAGGAATGAATGACTTTCGGGGCTTAGATCATGTGGGGGGAAGGATGTGGGGAGAGAGACGGGGAGAGAGGTCGGGATGTGGGACTGTGGAAGGGAGTACAGGCGAAGGAATAGGATCAAGAAAAACGATTTTGGGGGAAGAGGGTGACAGGGTGGAGAATCGGCGTACCTGCTGTGACTGTAACGAGTACAAGTTGTACTCTGCCGTTGTGGCTCTTAGCATCGAGGTTAGCGCGCGCGAGAGCGCCAATGGCGGATTCGATGGTCTTGCTGATGTCCACCAGCCACACGGCGCTTGGCTCCGGCATCCTCGTTATATGTCGCTGTGGCTTTCAAAAGAGAGAACTGGAAACAAAGGCTTCTTTGTTAAGAAGACCTTGCAATCGTATCTCGGCTCGTGATGACTAAGGGGACTCGAAACGGACCTAAGAATTGGCGAAACTATCACCAAGCTGCATGTGACAGCAATGGATACGAAGCTCCTTTCTCGTAAATGCCTTGGTTTATCTCTCGTCTGATCCTGACGATATCTCTGCTGATTTAGCTTTTCTGCTCGTCGTAGCAGCATCGAAGTGGGGCTAAAAGCTGCTCGGAAAAGCGCAAGCCCAGGCGTTGATGGCACCATGGCGGCTGAATTAGCAAATAGGATCTGCACCGTTAATTTGGCAACGCTTTTTCTGTTCGTTACTCCTGGATCGCGCCGTTTGGTGTTTGCCAGTCGAATGCTTGCGGGTCGTTCCAAACAGCGGCTGTTTCATATCAGAGCGACAGGAAATATCTGCGAATGGGATTTCCTGGACTACTCGCGCTGGCCCCCTGAGTAAGCAGCCTAACATTCTCCACCGTCCGATCTGTATCTTGTCCGACAACAACGCTACCATACATCCCATTACAAGGGAGAACTATATGCTGTACTGTACACTCATTGATGGATCTACAGAAAACTTCCTGCAAAGGCGCTCAAGGCGTTCTCGTCAGGCAGCCACACCGAAAGCAATGAAAGCTTTCAGTCGGTGGCGATTCGTCTGGCCAGGCGCACTGATGACAAAGCTGCTGCCTAGGGATGGGCATCCTACAGATGGCATCCACAGTGCTCTGCTCTGCGGGAACTGGAAAGGGTGCTTCGGTAATGTCGACGGAGGAGAAATCTACGACCGAGATCGTCATCAGCAAGATGTAATCAGCGCTCCACCGTCGATTGTACAGCTGAAGCTGGACAACTCCTAGGAATGCGATGGGTCTGCTGGCAAAGCGGTTGAGTTTGCCGTGGAATGACAAATTGCTGCGTAAGCTAGGGAGAAGGGGAGGTGAGGTGACCAGACCAGACCCGCTGCCGAGCAAGCAGGAGCAGTTTGGGTTGGGAGTGGCATGAAATTTGCCGCGCTTTGCTCAGGACGATGTCGGCTCTTGGGCTTCGATTTGACGGACTCTGTTCCGTTCCGTTCCGAGTTGTGGAACATAGTTGATACTGAACCGTATTGGTGTGGTGGGGATCCTGCATTCCATCTCATAGCGGCATTGAACAGGAGCCGTCGGATTGAACTCGGCTGGCTGACGGCTCTTGCAATTCACTTGTGTCCCTTCAGTTCACGTACGACTCACGACACGATGGGCACCCTATCCAACTGGCTCACGGGTGCTCTCCATCGTATTGTGCAACGCACAACAACGCTGTTCTCCACTTCATGACCTCGATGCGTACACTTAGAACGCAATATCACGGAAGTGATTACGCCTGTCGAAATAATGAGCACTAGCACTAATATAGCAAAAGCTAGCCAGGCCAAGGCCGCGGGACAGCGCAAGGTCGGGTGCGGGTTTGGGGTTTGGGAAACCCGAAGGCGACGCGAAGGACGTTCGGAAGGCGAGGTCGTCGGACCGAGCCTGAACTCCGAAAGTTAGAGTTGTACGCATAAAAGGTGCATCAGTAAAAATTCCTTACACCCCCAAGAAACGTGGTCAATATCAGGCACGCATCGATGGGAGGGATAATCCCATAAGATTGAGTGGCCTTGCAGTGAGTCAGTCGGGACCCACGTGTCGTCTTCACTTGTGCGATCCACCCATCATAGGAGAAAATTGACGTGGCGTCCTGCCGGTGTCGCACGTATGCGATGAGCCAGAATCTTCCACGGTTGCAGTGTCGGGTCTGCCACAGGCCGAACACTTGGCGCAATGTTGGGGCGGGGATGTCGGATGACTGCGGGGCCACGTAATGTCGAGCAACCTGACGTGGAAGGCATCGCGTATTTTCCAGTCATTCGGTAATAATAACTTTACCGTGACGGGTGTCAGCATCCGATTGATGAGGAAATGTCGCACGTAGCGGGGACGCAGTTTAGCGGGTTGGGGCAAGCGAATATTCTTAGTGTCCATGAGGACCATCTGCCCGTCGTGGAAGGGTAAGTTCCGTCCATGTCGACCAGCGTAGCGGCTGGCAACGGTATTAGATTTTTGGATAAAATTTGCTGCTTTATCGCGAATTGCATGAAGTTCCAAACGAACTGTTGCGACCGTGGTACCGGATTGGTTGTCGCCGACGGTGCATTGTTATACGCAAATTCAAGCATGGGGAGTAAATCCTCCCAAGTCAAGTCGAGGCAGTTCGTGGGAATCAACTGCTCCATGGTCTGATTTGTCCGCTCTGACTGTCCGTCAGTTTGCGGGTGGTATGACGATGATACTCCAGGCGGGTGCCGTACTGTGCCACATCTCTGCGGAGAGTCACCACACAACGGGAGTGGACTACTGAGGAGAGCACGGGGTTGTGTGAGTGATTGTAGTGCTCTAATAGCGTTCTTACTTCTTGCTTGTGTTCACACCGAAGTTTGGCAAGAATTTCACTAAGGAAGTTGAAAGAAACAACTTGCATCGAAAGGTTGATAGTACAATTGAGGCATGCAAAACAAAAGGACTAGAAGGGCATGTGACACCTAGCAAGGGCGAAATATGCCAGCGCAACAGAAGAGCAGCTTGCCAACACTGTAGCAGAGTAATCTGCCAGCGTTGCTCTGCGCGCGGGTCTGCCAGCACTGCAGTCGCAGGTGACTATCTGCAGTCGCAGGTAACTATCTGCAGTCGCAGGTTGCCTATCTGCGCAGCTAAGCGCACCTACTTAGTAGGTGCAGGTTGGCGGTTTCACCGTGAGGCACATTGCGTAGGTGCCAGGTCGAAAACGTGTCGTCGGTATTGCCAGGTGCGCCACCGTCAACCACGTAATGCCGTTCCGCAGGTCGAACTTTACCAAAACCTCCTGGGCGAAAGTTCGCACGCCTCCACAGAGTTTCGCACCAACTTTGCGAACTCGGTCGATCAGCTCGACATTGCTCGGTTGAACAACGTTTGCCAACCAGAGCTCCTCGACCAGAGCTCCTCGATCAAAGCCCCTTGACCAGAGCTCTTTGACTAGAAAGCATCGCGCAGAGCTCGTCGACCAGATTCCGTCGAGCAGAGCCTGCTCGACCGCAACTTCCGTCAAACTGCATAAACAACTTCTTTGACCAATCCGTCGAGAACTTCCCGTTGACGGCAAGGAGTGGCTACACCCAAGCGAGGGCGGGGCCTTTCTCTTCAACACTCCCCTGCCCAACTCACGCTTGAGCACCCACACACGAGGTCCACCCAGAACCCAGAGGGATAGAATACGAGAAAAGTCTGTCTGCGTGCATCCAACACATAGCGAGCATGTCACCGCGACAGCTGTGCAGAAGGGCACGGCACCTACTGCTGCACCTCGTCATCCCCGTCGCCTACGACAGCCAGACACATTTGGCCGATTGCAATGGAGCACCGGTTGAAAGCCGGAAAATGCAGCGCCATTGTCAGAAAATCCGCCGGCTGCTAGGAGGTCGGGATGTATTGCAAAGCAATCTTCCCGCGCTTCACCATCTGTTGCAGCCAGGCGTAGCGTCGCTCCATGTGATTGAGGTTGCCCTTGAGCCCCTAGCCCTCTGCAACAGCAATCGCCGACTGGTTGTCCACGTGCAGAACAGTCGGCTTCCTTCCGTCGAGAAGACAAAATTATGAAAGGAGGAAGCGCAGACGTCGAGCCTCCTTGCCAGCTTCGGATAGCACGCGACGTACTCTGATTCGGTCGACGAGAGCGTCGAGCATTTGATGCGCTGGCTCGACCAGGAGACTGACGGCTCCTCCGAAGACAAAAACGTAGCCGTCCGTGCTCGTCTGATTCGCTTGTCACCAGCGTCGTCGGCATCTGCATATCTAACCAGACACAGCGACTCTTGTCCTCCACCGAACTCCAGAGCGGCGTCACGAGTTTCAGCGAGGTTGTGCAGACAGAGATCAACCTCACGCCAGTCGTTGTCGCTCCGCATTGTTAGGCCGGATCCGAGCTTGCTGCAAGCGAAGGCAATGACGGGCCTTGCCGTGGTGGCCGAGAATTGCAGCGAGCCGAACTTCTGGCCGGTATTCTGCTTCCTCGCATGACTGAAACTCTTCGTCGTCGAACACCAGCTCTGCGTAGGAGTCGACGGAGACCGGCGTCTTTGGCACTCTCCCGGTCTGCTCCTTGTGAATGAAAGGCCGATGCAGCTTGTCGATGTAGACTTGTTGGTGAAGCAACAGCTTCCTCGTAGGACGGTCCCGCATGATTTCCAGCCGAAGATACTTCTCGGCCGGGCTGATTTCGCGCAGCTCAAAGGCGGCTTCCAGCAGCTCCTTCAGCAACGCAGTGCTGCTGCTCGTGGTGAGCAGGTCGTCGACGTAGACGAGCACCCAGCACGCCATCCCGTCGTCGCCGACCTTGAAGTGCAGCGCCTCATCGATTTGGCTCTTCTTCCAATTCGCTCCGGTTAGCACCGCGTCGAGCGTCGAGTACCACATCAACGAGCTTTGCTTCAGCCCATACAAGCTCTTCAGCAGCTTGCAGACGCGACCAGTGCCATCGTTGAAGTAGTCGGGCTTGTACATGTAGAGGATGCGATCCCAGCTTGCTCTGCAGAAACGCATTTTTCATGTCCAGCTGCATCAGGTGTAGGTCGAGGACTGCTACGATGCTGAGGAAGATTGTGAGAGTACGACGGCTTATGCCAGCTACACTTGCTTGCCTTTACGTTATTATGCTATTTCTAGCATAGGATGATTATATGCATGCATGAATTGCTTGATTTCCTAGGCTAGGTGCTTTCCTATATTTTATTATATTTATAGCACCGAGCTAGGTTGCGTGCACCGAATTCTGGATTTTTCGGTTGTCACCGAATTGCCTTCTACCGAATTCGGGAAGGATCTGTTCGGGACGCTTCGCGACCCTCAGAACCTTCGCATAACACCTGTTTACGGGGCCTTG